CCAACATAGCATACTTTTTAACAATCTAAGTATATCTGTACAGTTTCCCTGATTGTATCAACCGAAATAATTAATAAATTAAAGCATTTTGCTTTGAAAGATGGAAAATTAAGGGAAACATTTTGACAATATTCATGAATTAATATATTTGCCAGTAATATATCTATGTCATATCTAAATTCAGTATATTAACAAGAGGGCTATTTGGGCGATATATGGCTTACTTGAATAAATATTGCAAATACCATCATCTTTGGTTCAGGTATGTGAGATCATAATGAACTCTATAAGGAAAATTCGAAAACCAATGTTACTTTGTGACCTTGACCACTTCAAAATCCACAGGAAGAGACGGATTCTTTTCATTTTAAATGTTTTACTTTCTTCCCAAGAATCTTGCATTAGTCAAAAAATGATGGCTTTATGTAGAAAACTAGAATGCTTCATTAATTATTCAGTATGACCATGACCTTTGTAAAATTTCACAGTTTATATATATAAGATGTATTTTTATCAGATATCAAAGTTATTATTCACTTAAAATGTCATAAAAGATATTTTTAGCATGTAGAGACGAGCTGCACTTGTCAAATCGTGTCACCAAATGTCAAGAATTATCAGTTTTGGTAAAGCGAACACACCAATTAAACAACAAATATATTAATACTAGGTCTTTCTGTTACATACTAATTTACTAAAGCCATGTTCAGTTTTCCATAAAGGTCCTAGAGCTCATGAAGCGGGTCCAATTTTGGACAGCATGCTCGACTATTCTAAGTGCTTGATAGTAAAAGAGCCTTGATAATGTTAAATTTTTTAAGTTCACAAAAGGGCTAATTTTTTTTTATAAATTCATGTTATAGGCCTTAGAGAGAGTCTAATTATTCAGTATTGGCTTGACTATTCGGAAGGTAATGTCACAAGGTTGTTTTATTGAGTATAATAATACTAATTACCTATGAATACATAAATTTGACAGAAAAGATACAAATGCTTGTTATTAAGATGTTTTATCAAGTAAATCACTACTTTTTTACTATGAATGCATAAAATTGTCCCAAAAAAGGCACAAACCCTTCAGTAGTTATTGAGATAACAGCTTACAAGCAAAACTTTACCATGAATTTCTAAGTTGAAAAAGGGGAGAAAAATCAGCCTAAATGCAAGATAGAATTATGGATCTTTGTCAGTGACCTACAATTATGACCCTAAATGCATATGTGAAGTTTTAAATAAATACCTTTAATAGTTATTGAGATATGTAAAACTTGCATGTAAACGTTAACCAAGAGACTAAGTAGAAAAGGGGATATGAATCAGCCTTAATGCAAGATAGAGTTATGGAACTTGGTCAGTGACATACAATTATGACCCTCCAATTATGACCCTAAGTGCATGTGTAAAGTTTCAAGTATATATCTTTGAAGACCTTTAACCTTTAACCAAAATTTCTAAGTTTCAAAGGGGCAAATAATTCTGCAAATATTGCAGGCAGAGTTATGCAATTTTGCAAACTGATGAACATTGTTACTATAAAAAAGTATTTTAAATTTCAATTGAATATCTCAAGCAATAATTGAGATATTTGACTTTACAAAAAAAATTTAACCAAAATTTCTAAGTTCCAAAGGGGCATAATTCTGTCAATATTGTAGGCAGAGTTATCCAACTTGTCAATCTGATGTACCTTGTTACTATAAATAAGTATTGTAAGTTTCAATTGAATAGCTCAAGCAATAATTGAGATATTTGACTTTACAAAAAACTTTAACCAAAATTTCTAAGTTAAAAAGGGGCATAATTCTGTCAATATTGTAGGCAGAGTTATCCAACTTGTCAATCTGATGTACGTTGTTACTGTAAATAAGTATTGTAAGTTTCAATTGAATATCTCAAGCAATAATTGAGATATTTGACTTTACAAAAAACTTTAACCAAAATTTATAAGTTAAAAAGGGGCATAATTCTGTCAATATTGAAGGCAGAGTTATCCAACTTGTCAATCTGATGTACCTTGTTACTATAAATAAGTATTGTAAGTTTCAATTGAATATCTCAAGTAATAATTGAGATATTTGACTTTACAAAAAACTTTAACCAACGCAGACGCCGACGCGGACGCTGACTCCGACGCCGGGGCGTCTACAATAGCTCTCATATTCTTCGAATAGTCGAGCTAAAAATCAATATATTTATAATGCATAATGTTTTGTATAACTTTGGCTTAATTCAAGTAAAATATATAACATTTGTCATACAACACCACAAAAAACTCTAGTTTTGCCAATCCAATGATTATTATTCTGTATCAATGATTGGATCAAACTGGTTTATTGAAACAGACCAGAATCCTGTTAACTTCCATTACCACACACTTTACATATGCAGAACTCTCAAGATGAACGTTGTAAGGTAAATGTCACATGAAGTTGGTTTTTTTATATTGTTCTGTCAAATAATTTTGTCTTAATGCAGGTTATTTGCAAAGGAAGACAAAACCGCCAAATAATTTTTAACTTCCGTTACCCTTGCTTGAATTTTTAAGAACAACATTGTTTTGGCCACGATATTGTAAATAAAAATTACGATTGGTAATAACTGCATATGCTTATGTATAAAAATATATTGTTAAAATCACTTTTCTATCTTTTTGCAATCAAAGAATTTAATCAATTTGGAATTTAACTTCCGTTACTGTGCAGATACATTTTCCTACGACATTAGCATCATCACGCATGTACATGGAAGTACAAAAGATTTCAAATTGCTACATTTCTCCATTCACAGAAATACAGTTCTCACATAGATAACTTTCTTTTTCGAATTAAACTTTTGTTAGAGTGAAATTGTACAGAATATTAATGAACACTCACCAGTTAACGATAGAAGCTAATTTTGAATTAATATTATTGCAACTTTTTTGCATTTTTCAAAGTATGCTGGCTTTGATCTAAACAATACTTTTAGAGTGTTTCAAATATCTTTTAACATCATCATAGCATAGGTAGGATAACAATTACCAAAAATGTCACGGAAGTTAACAGTAACGGAAGTTAAAAAAATGTTCTTTGAAAACCGATTTTCAATATTTATATCAATTTTAAAATAATAACAACCATTACACCATCTTCTTGTAAGCCTAAAAAATCATTATGAACCATTATAGGGAAGTTATACCTTGCAATGTTCCTAAACTTTTGGTCACGGAAGTTAAACACGTTTTTGTTTTTTCTCAGTGGAAACTGTATGATGGGCTATGATGCTCGAATATGTAACTTTGATAACATATAACAATTTTTAACAAAATCCACTGATATTATATCCCATATACACGACATTATTGAATGTACATACCATTATAAAACAAAGTTTGATAACTGTAACGGAAGTTAATACTATTTTGGAGACATAGAAGTATCAAACCGGGCTGTGAGGTTTTGAACTGGACTAGATATTTTCCTTCTTTATAAGTACAAGATAGGTCTATTTTAGTTACTGAGAAAAGTTTTTTTCTTAGAAATTTCATTAACTGTTGTTAATACTCATTTGAAATATACTACCGTTACTAGCGACAGGGCAAAAAGACCGATTTTGAATATTTTTGAGAATGGTGTAAGGTATTAAAATCACATTTTGTGGTGTTTTTGCATATTTTCTAGTGTTTTAAGCATTGGCACATAATTTCTGCCAAAAGTACCGATTAACTAAAGTTATGAATACATAATAACGTATCCGGGACATCAAAAAATTGCAAAACAGCATAAATTTTTGGAACCACTGAGACTTGGAGTCCCTTTAAAATAATGGAAGTGGCTAGCCGTACGGGCCCGTACGGCTAGCCAAAAGTTCTAGCCGTACGTGAGTCACGTACGACTAGCCTGGACACACTGTATTGGCTAGCCGTACGGCACTTTCAAAATTATATGGAAGTCGAAAATGCATATGTTATTTTGTGTCTTTAAACAACGATTTTAATCAAATCTCCGCATTTGTTCTAGTGTGTTCACTTTAATAAAGATGCTCCGCAATTTTGCACAAAAAATGAATACGAGTAAGCGTTGTATAATTTATCTTAATAAAATTAAGTGTCAAAGTTGCAAGTTATAACGTCCCTTATTTTCATGCTTATGATTTGTATGAAAGATGAATTGTTAAATCTGTTAATTAAGCACATGGATCGAATAAATAATGATCGGAGGGGAATAAATAAATAAATAAAAAGAATATTAAAAAATGTTAAAAGGAAAAATTTTATAATGCAAACTTTTCTTAATGATGGACGATGGACAAACTTCTATACCGTCGTTAATTGGCGCAATTATCAGAGCCCAACAACAATTATTTTCGGTGTTTTTTTTTCAATTTAAAAATTAAACTTAATGAAACAAAAAAGGATTATTATCAAAATTTTGTAAACTATTTCAATTGATGTTATTCAACTGCAACCAAACGCTATTTTCTCGAAGTCTTGAGATGACAAAGTAAATTCTTAACTGTAGCCAACACGTCGATTAATCTCTAAAAAGTAAACATTCTTGACTAAAATACTCGCTTAAAGTCATAATTAACATATGCACTTTCGCCTTCCATATATTTTTGAAAAGTGCCGTACGGCTAGCCAGTACAGTGTGTCCTGGCTAGTCGTACGTGACTCACGTACGGCTAGAACTTTTGGCTAGCCGTACGGGCCCGTACGGCTAGCCACTTCCTAAAATAATTGATAACGTTTTCATGATATTCAATGAAATCTTTTAAAGACACAAGTTTGCATATCATTATTGTTATAGGTTATTCATTTAAAAATGGCGCACGTCTAGCCATAACAGTGCATTACCACAGATCATTCAGAAAACAGAAAATCTGGTACGAATTGAACCGTGTACGAGTTAAGCGTTGTGCAAGGTGACCTACACGTTGTTTAGGCTTAGTCATCACAAAGACAACAACAGTAGAATATTGTATTATGATTTTTTAGCAGACATTTTGTTTAGAAAACTTACAATACTCTTTTTTTTAAATTATAAACAATAAATCACATGCTTGAAAGTTGAAAAGGAGTGAGTATCTTTCCTCCGTTGTGGAGAGTATTTCCCGAACTTTTTAGTCTGCAAGATCTTCTACTGCAGTATTTTGCATAGGCACTCGGTTCCACAACTTTCTATGATTTTTAATTTCTTTAAAAAAAATTTAATTTATATACAAATTAAATTTTTTTTTTAAGAAATTAAAAATCATAGAAAGTTGTGGAACCGAGTGCCTATGGTATTTTGTATGTTGACATTTTGGTACAGTTGGATTGAAACAGTGGTACAGTTGGATTGAAACAGAGAAATATGCCATTTTCAACAATTCATATTTTCAATCTTAATCGCAATATTCTTATAGGCCTAGCTATTATGTCAGTTTTATAAAATTGTTTTGGTAGACAGACGTTTCACTATTGAGACGTTTCACACCAAGACGGTTCACACCAAGACGTTTCACTCCCAAAAGGGAGTGAAACGTCTTGAAGACGTTTCACTCCTATTTATACCAAAATTATTTTGATACGTATGATATACTAACATAGACCTAAAATATTGAATTGAATTGAACTAAAATAGACCTTAAATTTATTAAATTAAAAAGGAGGATTTCACTTTTTTGTCAATGACTTAAAACTCAGTTCTTTCATTTCAGTTATCTTATTTTCTTTATTGTTTTGAAATAAAGTGTTTTTCTATTCTTTGATCCAAATGTGCAATTATCAGTGATTATCATATTATTTCATTTAAAGACAAGAATTCACTTTTTTGTTTTTAATTTTAAACATGGGATCAAAATCAAAAATTGTTAAAATATTTTATGCTAGTATAGTGCATTTGCGATATATGTCAAAAAATTTAATGGCCATTGAAATCAGAAACATCTTTAAATAAAATTAGAAGCATTAGGACTTTTTCAATATTTGTCATGTATAATCATTTTTTGTGACTAAAATCCATTATTATATAAACAAAAGTTATGGAGAAGTTTCTGTGTTTAAATTGGCTGTTGTCAAAAAATATTTTAATGGTCTAATAAACATCTGATTAGTAAACTGTTGATGCATAATTGCAGTGTTTATACAACTGATTTAATAGTGTGTCAAACTGTTAGTTGATTTTCTCAGTGTTTATACAACTAATTAGGCGATGAGATAACACCACAATTACTTAAGTTTGTTTAATGGGTTTAATAAATTGATGAAGAAAATAATTTTAAAAAATAATTTATTTTATAGTTTTTATACACATGTTTTGCATTTTATTGTTTAAGACAATAAAAAATAATAATTACATAGTCAATATATTTAATATATCAATATTTTTTATTATTTGAGTGATATTTATTACTTTACTGGTAATGATTTCAATATATTTAAACTGATACTTATAATATAGATGTTTTTGTTGTTCTTTCTATGTTATTCTATTTTTTTTAATTTACTATAAATAGAATTTTCTATATTCACTATTTTCTATAGTGATATTTCAGAAATGTGTCTTTCATTTACACCTCTTATCACTCAACCCATAGTTAAATGATACCATTGAAATCAACAAAATGAAACATTAAATTGAATTTCCTTTTTACACTGTTTTAATATTAATGAAATTAAAATTTGTTAACTTTCCTAGTAAACATCTCTAAAAATTGGGAGTGAAACGTCCATATAATTGACAAAATGGGAGTGAAACGTCTAGGTGTGAACCGTCTTGGGAGTGAAACGTCTCAATAGTGAAACGTCTTGGGAGTGAAACGTCTGACATTCAATTGTTTTCAGCACGAGGAATATTTAAAACGATTCGCCCTACAGTTGATTCGTCCCGAAACAATTCCCCCCCACTTTAGTTAAGTGACGATTCGCTTCGTTTATGTAAGAAAATTGAAGATTTGTACTATTGCAAATGATCGATTTCGTAATGAAAATGTGATATAAGTATCGCTTATCCTAGTTGTGCCACTGTTAACTATTTAAATGTGAAGGTTACACAAGGGTTTGCCTAAAGAAAGTGGCTAGCAAGGACACACTGTATTGGCTAGACGTACGGCATTTTCAAAGACGAAAATGCATATGTTATTTAATTAATTTAAGCGAGGATTTTAACCAAGAAACAGCAATTGTCTTTGTTCATGTATGTTTACTTTTTACTGAGATTAATCGCCTTGTTGGCTACAGTAAAAAAGTACGAATATCGATGTTTGTCATCTTAAGACGTACGTTGAGAAAAAATAGCGTTTGGTCGCAGTTAAATAACATCAATTGAAATAGTTTACAAAATTTTGATGATAATCCTTTTTTGTTTCATTAAGTTTAATTTTCGACACCTTTAAAATGAAACAAAAAAACGAAAATTATTGTTGTTGGGCTCTTATAATTGCGTCAATTACCGATGGTAATTCTATACAGTATAGAAGTTTGTCCATCACTAAGGAAAGTTTGTATGTTCGCTGAAACGCATTTTAAAATTCTATTGTCAGTCCCTGGGTAGGCTTTAATTAAGGCTAATTAATTGATTGTGCTTTTATGTTCGATATTTATCTACTGTACAATTATTTTTGCTTTTCACCATTTTTTTTCAATGTTCTTTTTATTTATTCCACTCCGATCATTATTTATTTGATCCATGTGCTTAATTAACAAAAATTCATCTTTCATACAAATAAAACAACAAATCAAATGAATCATGAGGCACAAAATAACATATGCATGTTTGACTTCCAACTGCCGTACTGCTAGACAATACAGTGAGTCCTGGCTATTCGTACGTGACTTCTGATTTCTGATATTCCTGCGTTTTTCGTGACAGACAGTAATTTCTGTTGTTTTTTTTTACATTTTTGCAAACGATTGCGTACGATTCACATCAAGTACTGAAGTAGAAATTTTTTCCCGCCTCTCCCGCCCTGTGCTTATTGATCATTTTGTGTTATTTTTTGTTTTGTTCAATTAACATTTTTGTTGTTACCTGTTTTTCTGTGTGTTTGTCACCTGCAGGTTTTTGTATAGCTTAATTTGTGTCTATTGACTATAGACTATAGATATTTTGACACAGGTTCATCTATATTAGTTCTCAGGGAAGGGCCCACGATAATGTTGTAAAAACTTTTGGCCTAACCCTTTTGTATATTGTGTAATTTTGTTAATGTAAATGAATTGATGTATATTTATATATGCAATAAAATATTATTAAACTATATTAGTTCTAAATTTTTGTATTGAACTTGATTGATCTTTATTTTGTCTTGTTACAGTGACAAACTTATATCTCTTCATAATACTAGTAAAAAGTTTATATCATCCAGTTTGCTTCATTTCTGCTTTGAGATAATTCACATGATCTGGGCAAGTTACATAACTATGGCTTTGAATAAAGGTCATCTCTGGTCAAAAACTAGGTCACAGTTGCTAAAAATAGAAAAATCTTGTTAACATTGTAGTAGATGCAGTTTTGATCCAAATATTCTGGATTAACAAGATTTTTCTAATCTTAGCTGCTGGACCCACATTCAATCTTGACCTGGAAATCATCAAAACAACTTTTCTGACCAATTTTCAGGATATTTGGACTAAAACAGTAGCCCCTAGCACCGTGGTAAACAGTAGATAATCCTGTCTGATATGAAAGAAAGAACTAAGGTGGCTAAATTATATACAATGTAATTTAAAAGTTTGATAAATTGATAGTTGTTAAATAGAACAAACTAATAATGACTAATATTTCTTTGTTTTGATCATAATATAGGGAATCACAGAACAGAACAGAAGCTGATAATCCTAGAGATGTACAAAATGTGTTCATGTTGTGTGACCAGTGTCCTGGTGGTTGTCGTGGGAGTTGTTGTATCGTTGTTGCTTAGAGTTGACTGGTATACTAAATGCATCGAATACATGCAATGTCAGATGACCTGTTTAGAACGGGATGTTGATACGCTACGAGCTGATATCTGGGACTGGAAGTTTCTAAGGCACCAAATATGCAGTCACCTTACAGATGCCAAGAACTGCGGTCAGCCTTACTCCATAACTGTAGACAGTGTGGACAAAAAATGTACTTTGTCGTTACAACTAAATAAAATATATAATACTGTCAAAGATTTTGAAATTGTTTATGGTGAATCTGAAAAGTTTAAAAATGCTACAAAGGAATATCTCTTTATAGAAATGGATATACGTGTGGATTACCAGTATATCTCAAAAAAGTTTTTAAAGAACAAATATTTAAACTTTAACTTTGAACATAGACATACTAGATTCTCATATTATGACTTGCTTGATTGCAATAGTGAGTCTCATCATTTCTATACAAAAGTAAACATTTATTCAAAGTCTTTATTACAAGAGAAATATTTGTTAAGTTTTTTAACTTTATGCTTCATAGAAATGAACTATAATAATAAAACAAGTGTAGAAGACATGTACTGGATTGTTAACGTCACAGACCTAACAGGAGTGGTTAGTGTTGGTACAGATATTTTTGTTCAGGAAAATGTTATACTGACGAAAGGAAGTAAAATATACGCCTGGTTGTCAACACTTGCCTTAGTGTGGTTTTTTTTTGTCATTTTGTATCTTGTTCAAAAAATGCTTATTGCTTTACATGGATTTTCTGAGACATTTACAAACTGTAGATTAAATGGTGAGGATGGGAGAACACTTGAACTGACAAGGCCAGATATGATATCTGTTGATAGTGGGGATTTGAATATATTTACTTCATATTCCTTCTCAGTCTTGTTTCGGTCAGATAGTTTTAACAAAGCATTAATTTTCACTACCTTATTTGTTGTTTGGTTTTTCTCAATATTAGCATATTTTGATGTAAAACCAGAGTTCAATTTTGTCAGCAAAAGTATTTTGTTATGTGTATTGGTCATTTGCAGTGTGTCATTTTTAATTCTCTTTCCATTTGCTGTAATTTTTATTATCAATTTTGCACTGATTATAATTGCTCCTGAATTGATGATACATGGCTTTGTACACCATTGGTTGATGACAATCTCAGGTTTTAGATTTGGAGATGCATTTGTCAACATTTATATTATCTTTGTATTAATAGTAATATGTTTTGCTTTTATTTATATGTTCTATTATAAGGATTGGATGAAAGATTTACTGATCAGAAGAGATCTTGTTCACACTCTTCTTTGGCTAACATGGCCAGTTCAGTTAATGGTGTTTTTGACAAAGAAATATTTTCCTGCATCTACATTAAATTGTGTATGGATAATCATTTTTTCAGTGTTGTGTATTATTGTGTATTGTGGTTTATTTGATATACCAATTCCTGAAGATGAACACTTGTTGTATAAGACCTCATCTGTAAAAAGAGCAAAAAAACTCCTAACAGTAGCTTTCTGGCTGTTCTTTCCAATTTACTTTGCTCTGATAACTTTTTGTAGATCTTACAAAAAAAAAATTTCCCTTGCAATAGAAGCAGTATTTACAGCACTTTTTGTAGCCTCCTTGATGAAAGTTCTCCTGCCTTGGCTTTATCCGTCACTTAAACTAATGGATTCAAAACAGAATGATCTACATATAATGCTTGCTTTACATTTTGTAGCATATCTTCTTAAGATATGTAGAGACTGTTACACAACATATGATAAATTTCTGAAAGATGTCATATCACATGTCAGGGATAAGTACAATTGTGTAGAAAACAAGAAAGGATTTAAAGCAGATAGTGACTGCATTGCTCTTTTTTACAACCATTTAGACAAGGATGATGTAAGTGATTGTAAACATCTGAGATTAAGTCAAGGGAAGTTGGAGAATGGTAAGTTTAAAATAAGAGGCTTGATGCTGATATCTAAAGGGAGCAATATTTATGCCCCTTCAGATTTCTTCTTTGAAGTGATTAAGCTTTCAGGGGGCCCCTGACCTATTAAATCAGTGATTAGGCATGAGCTATTCACATTGTTATTTTTACGGCTTTTCCCAGCTTTGTTGATATATTGGCTGGTTAATGTTATGTACCTGGTTGAATTTGAAAAATATGACGCAGTGATGAAAGTTGTCATTGGTAATGCATTCATTTCCCAGTACAAGGAACTTTTCTTGCAACGAAAGGTTCAAACAGTTGATGTGAAAAGCAACGTAGTATTTCAAAAGCAAATACAGAAATTTTTGGAGAATTATGAAAGCTGGTTTTTTGTTTCAGAGCAATTATGAAATATTTTAGGAAAGTTGTTAACCAGTCTTGCCAACAGGTATTATTGCTGTTGGAATGATGTGTTGTTGTTCACTGTAGTTTTCAAGTTTTCAAGAATATTGTTACTTGAATTAAGATGCTACCATAACTCAGCTAATGGATGTCTGCCTCATATTAAAGGAATGCAAGTGAGTTTAGGGAACACTTAAGGTGCACATTGAAGTGCACATGTAGTGCATGCCAAGTGCACTTTGTGTAACCTTTAGTGTGAACTCAACTGTATGTTTGATTTCTGTGATGGATTTACTGAATTTTTGTTTTGTTTATGTATATTGCAACTGTCAATTGTTAATACAGCCTTTGATATACTGTATATAAAGAATAGAGGGCAGCTAACTGATGACCTAGGTCTATAGTCAACTGGTAAAAGTTTTAATACTACAATGTATTTAAAAGTTCTTGGCATGAAATTGTTATGCTTCCCAGTAATTCAAATCTATTTTTAAGTCTATGTTTGAAAATTGTTAAGACTTTCGTAGCAAAATTATGTACCAGCACTTTTACTGAAACCAGCTAGTTTCAACAATTGTTTAACAAATTGTAAATATGATTATGTACATGTTTATAACATTGTAATGTTGCTCATAAGCTTATTTCTAGTTTTGTTATTATTGTTATTACATTTTTTATGTTCATTTATTGTTTTGAAATGTTTACATTATTTAATCATTACTATGACTTGTACTCACCCAAGCATCAAGTGTTGGTATCAACATTGGTTATTGTTTGTGTGTTAATTGTTATTTCAAAAACTTCCTCAAGGGAATGGATTGAAACTTCATGCACATGTTTTTGAGCACACTATCCTATCAACAGCTCTTGTTCCTGTTACATTGTAACTACAGTATAAGTTAATATAGTGATTTCTTATTATGCTCCCCGAAAAATTTCGGGGGAGCATATAGTCGGCGCCTTGTCCGTCCGTCTGTCCGTCCGTTGTCTTGTCCAGAGCATAACTTGAAAAGCCTTGGAGATAATTTGTTTAAACTTCATACTGTGGTAGAGGGCATTGAGGGGGAGTGCAGTGTCAAAGAACCTTAACTCTATTTTGCCCGGTTTTTGAATTATCTCCCCTTATAGAAAAATCTTGTCCGGGACATAACTCTAAAACTATAAGAGATATCAACATGAAACTTTGTAGGTGAATAGATCTCAATGGGTAGATGTGCAGTGCATAAGAACAATAACTCTTTTTGTCCTCATTTTTGAATTATCTCCCCTTTTAGAAAAAATCTTGTCCAGGACATAGCTGTAAAACTATAAGAGATATCAACATGAAACTTTGTAGGTAGATATATCTCAATGGGTAGATGTGCAGTGCACAAGAATCATAACTCTGCCTTGCCTAATTCTGGAGATATTGCCCTTTGTTTATTTTTAGCTCACCTGTCACAAAGTGACAGGGTGAGCTTTTGTGATCGCTTTTCGTCCGTCCGTCCGTCCGTCGTCCGTCCGTAAACTTTTACTTTAAATGACATCTCCTCATAAACCACTAAGCCAATTTCATCCAAACTTCACAGGAATGTTCCGTTGGTGGTCACCTTTAAAAATTGTTCAAAGAATTTAATTCCATGCAGAACTCTGGTTGCCATGGCAACCGAAAGAAAAAACTTTAAATATCTTCTTTTAAAAATCCTAAGAGCTGGAGCTTAGATGTATGATATGTGGCATGAAACATGTTCTAGTGAGTGTCTACCAAGTTTGTTCAAATAAAAGCCCTGGGGTCAAAATTGGCCCCGCCCCAGGGGGTCTTTGATTTTCCCTATATGCATATAGTAAAAACTAAAAAAATCTTCTTTTAAAGAACTCAAAGAGCTTGAGCTAAGATATTTAGCATGAAACATGTTCTAATGGCTGTCTACCAAGTTTGTTCAAATAAAAGCTCTGGGGTCAAAATTGGCTCCCCCCGGGGGTCATTGATTTTCCTTATATGTGTATAGCAAAAACTTAAAATCTTCTTTGAAAAAACCCAAATAGCTAGAGTTTAGATATTAAGCATGAAACATCTTCTAATGAGTGTCTACCAAGTTTGTTCAAATAAAAGCCCTTGGGTCAAAATTGGCCCCGCCCGAGGGGTCTTTGATTTTCCCTATATGCATATAGTAAAAACTTAAAAAATCTACTTTTAAAGAACCCAAAGAGCTAGAGCTTAGATATTTAGCATGAAACATCTTCTAATGAGTGTCTATCAGTATTGTTCAAATAAAAGCCCTGGGGTCAAAATTGGCCCCGCCCCAGGGGGTCATTGATTTTCCCTATATGCATATAGTAAAAACTAAAAAAATCTTCTTTTAAAGAACTCAAAGAGCTAGAGCTAAGATATTTAGCATGAAGCATCTTCTAGTGAGTGTCCACAAAGTTTGTTCAAATAAAAGCCCCGGAGTCAAAATTGGCCCCGCCCCGGGTGTTATTGATTTTTCTTATATTTATATAGCAAAAACTTAAAAAATCTTCTTTGAATAAACCCAAATAGCTAGAGTTTAGATAATTAGCATGAAACATCTTCTAGTAATTGTCTACAAAGTTTATTCAAATAAAAGCCCTGGGGTCAAAATTGGCCCCGCCACAGGGGTGTCATTGGTTTTATCTATATGGGTATAGTAAAACTTAAAAAATCTTCTTTGAAAAAAAACCCAATGAGCTAGAGCTTAGATGTTTAGCATGAAACATCTTCTTATGGGGGTCTACCAAGTTTGTTCAAATAAAAGCCCTTTGGTTAAAATTGGCCCCTGCGGGGGGGGGGGGGGGGGGGGGGTGTAGGGGGGCAGAAGGAGGGTGGGGGTTGATAGTAGTTTTTCTCTTTTTCATTATAAATGTTTGTGTAGTAAAAAAAAAAAAATCTTAACATCGTGAAACGTCTTCTAATGGGTGTTCTTCCAAGTTTGTTCAAATAAAAGCCCTGGGGTTTTAAACTGGCCCCCGCTCCGGGGGCCTTTATACAGGTGAGCGACCTCAGGGCCATCATGGCCCTCTTGTTACTTTTTGAAGTTGTCTGGGACATGACTCGGAAACCATAAGAGATATCAACAAGAAACTTTGTAGGTTGATAGATCACATTGATTAAAAGTGCAGTGCAAAGAACAGTAACTCTGCCTTGCCTAATTTTGGAATAATTGCACTTTGAACTTTTTCCAGGGACATAACTCCTAAACTACAATAGGTGTACTTTCCTGTGTCCAAAACCTATTCGGGGAGCATCACCCGGCTCAAACCGGGCTCTTGTTTGTCAAATGACCCATTTAAAATCATTTTAAATTGTTGTTAGCTCTTTGAGCGAAATAAATTAACCTATTCATACACAAAGTCATCACATGTCAAAAGGCCTACATATTAAATTTGTGAAGCTAAATCAGTTGCTTTCTTTGATAGGAATAAAATTATTTTTTAAAAAAATGCACTTTCATGAAAATAAACAATATAAGCTTTGCAAATGTACAATGAAAACTGTTGTTACAAAATTTATGTGCAGTATTATTATAAATTGATGTGATATTTCCTAGTATATTAAATGATGATATGTTATATTCAGGGACATGTCTCTACATGGTCTATCACAATTAAGTTATAATATGAATTGTTCTTAAAGTGACTCCACTGGAAATATTTTTCCAGATTTGTGTACCATTTGATGTAAGTCAGGATCTATAAATTGTGTGCACATTTTCAGGTCATTCTCTCACCCTGTTTTACAGAATAAAGATTTTTATTGTGTAAAATGATGCAATAATTTAAAAGCGTTGCAATGCTTTTCTGGCTCAAAATGGACAAACAATTGCACAAAAAATTGATTTTTGATTTAATTCTGACTATTTACAATAGATTTTTTTACACCATTTTTTTGTATACAGCCTTTATTTCTTTTGCCAATGTCTCTTATCTAAAAGGAACATACCTAAGGGGGTCCTTTAAGTTTGGATGGAGTTTGGGGTAACTGGGTTCAAGGTCAAAGTCTTTCATTAAACTTTTACATTTTGTATTTGGATAATTGAAAAATTTTCAACGTCATCAAATGGCAGTGACATGCCAACTTACATTTTTTAAGATAACAAAATGTGATCATAACTCTGTCAATTATATTTCTGTGTTAACATTTTTTTGGCAATTTTTCTGTCAATTACTGAGTGAATGAGTAAACCTGCTTTGAAAATTAGTTACTAATAAAAATATTGTCCAGGAGCATTTGTGTTTACCAGAAACACATTCTTGTTTATAACAGATATACATTAATTTTGTACTGTCTCAATTAAGTAAATATTAGGAAATATGAAATGTAGATTGTATGACTGTATAATAGCAAATGTAAACTGTAGATTGATTGTGTGACATGTATAATAGCAAATGTAAACTTTAGATCGATTGCGTGACTGTATAATAGCAAATGTAAAGTTTAGATCGATTGTGTGACTTTATAATAGCAAATGATAGCAAATGTAAACTTTAGATTGATTGTGTGACTGTATAATAGCAAATGTAAACTTTAGATTGATTGTGTGACTTTATAATAGCAAATGTAAACTTTAGATTGATTGTGTGACTGTATAATAGCAAATGTAAAAGTTTTAGATTGATTGTGTGACTTTATAATAGCAAATGTAAAACTTTATATTGATTGTGTGACTGTATAATAGCAAAAAATGTAAAGTTTAGATTGATTGTGTGACTGTATAAATAGCAAATGTAAACTTTAGATCGATTGCGTGACTGTATAATAGCAAATGTAAACTTTATATTGATTGTGTGACTGTATAATAGCAAATGTAAAGTTTAGATTGATTGTGTGACTTTATAATAGCAAATGTAAACTTTAGATCGATTGCGTGACTGTATAATAGCAAATGTAAACTTTAGATCGATTGTGGTGACTGTATAATAGCAAAATGTAAACTTTTTAGATCGATTGCGTGACTGTATAATAGCAAATGTAAACTTTATATTGATTGTGTGACTGTATAATAGCAAATGTAAAGTTTAGATTGATTGTGTGACTTTAATAATTCAGCAAATGTAAACTTTAGATCGATTGCGTGACTGTAAATAGCAAATGTAAACTTTAGATCGATTGTGTGACTGTATAATAGCAAATGTAAAGTTTAGATCGATTGTGTGACTTTATAATAGCAAATGTAAAATTTTATATTGATTGTTGTGA